CAGCAGCCAAACCCGCCGCGGTGTCGGGCACTTCTCGAGCCCCCCCCCGCGACCCCTGGCGCCACGGCCGCGCCGCCCTCGGCGGCGCCGCGGCGCCTTCCGCCCGCCCTCGGCCTCCTCCTCCCCCCCCGCGGCGGCAATCGTCCCATCGCCGCTCTCCGGCAGCGCGGGCTCCAAGGGGTCCAAACTGGATCCCTCGGTCCCACCTCCGGACCCACCTTCAGCGGCCTGCGCGTCGCAGGCACCGCCGTCCGCCTCTTCGGGGCGCGCGCCGCCGCGGCCATCGCCGCCAGCCGCTGCCCCGCCACCAGCCGCCTGATCGCCAGCCGCCACCCCAGCCGGGGTGTCGCCCAGCGACAAGCCGCTGATGGATGCCAAGACCGCAGCTGCGTCCCCCCAGCCCCGCGGGCCGAGAAGAGCTCGGCGGAGCTTCTCCGCCTGGCGGTCGTGGATGTCGAGCGAGCCGATGCCCTTCTCAGCGACCTCCTCGAGGAGGTCGCCGGCATCGCCAACGCCCAGCTCCGCGAGCCGCCCCTCATACCTGCGGTAGAGGATGTCGGCGACGCCCGCGCGCTTGAACAGAGCCGCGAGCGGCTCTCGCAGGTCGACGGGGGGGGGAGGGAGCCGGTATCGACGAAAGGGACCGCTAGCAGGAGACGGTGCCAAGCCCTACAGGTAGTGAACGATCGTCTACACACATCAACTGCACATGCGCGCACTTCCAGTAGCGGCGCAACACGACGCCGAGCAACCGACGTCGGCACATACAGCTATATCATACTGACTAACAGCCAACTACTCAAGTATTGAGATTAAACACGGCCATGCTCATACACCATTTTGGACAGATCTTATGTGGCGAGCACAATCGTCGCGCTCTAACGTAGCAAGGGTGGCTAAAGTCCTCGCCGGGCGGCTCGAAGGGCATCTTCGTGTGCAGCACACGCGCCCGAGCCTGCCTCCGTGGTAGGGGGCGGGGGAGTTGGCTCTCGGCGGTGACGGCGCAGGGTGGCATAATGGCGGCGGCTTTGTCTTTGACTGCAGTGCGCACACGCGCACCTGCCTTCTCGGGAATATCATTGCGTACACGCCATATGCGTTCGACATCAACAACTTCGTCTACGCGCACCTGAACAACCTGGCGCAGGAGGCTCCCGATGTAAAGCCGTTTGAGGAGATGTCGCCGCCTGAGTGGGCATCCGCTCTCGAGGTCACTGTCAAGCAGTTCGTGTACCGGATCGTCAAGTACCGCGACAAAGGCTTCCGCAGGCACGCTGCGCAGCAGCAGGCGCAGCTGGCGGTGCATCCGAACATGCTGCTGACCAACAACAAAAGTTTCGACATGCCTTACTAGATCACCCAGTTGAGTACAAGGATTAGCCCCACCGACGGCCGCTGATCTGCCGCATGTTGTTAGTAGCTGAGGACTTGTTGAGTAGCGCGTCTCTGAAGATGTTCATATTGGAACAGTGTGCATACTTCCGTGTCAGTAGATGTGCGTGGTGACTCGGTTTCCTTGACAAACATTCTTCACTGAAAAGTGTTTTTCTTTCAAAGCCAGTGCGCGCGAGTCCCGTGCCCCGTGTCGTGCAGAACGCCTTTCGTCAAATTCTTATTCGACGCGAGACGCGAGCCGCCGGCGCCGACTCGATCGCTCGCGTTTGGTGACCTGCTTTGCCAAACGCACCATCTTTGACAATCACGACGGCAGCTGTTGTGTCTCAGAGATTGACAGCTGCCGTCGTGGTTGCACTCGCTCGTAGCCCACCTGGCTCGCAGCCGGTCCGCTCGACGCGAATCGCCACGAACGTCGACTTCGAGGTGCTGCCTAGAGCTATGCGCTGTAGTTGCAGCGCCGCGCGTACCTCTCAGCACCGCGCCAAAGCAGCACACCATCCTCCGCTGGTAGCGTGCGCGTGGATTGCACAGGCGCACAGCTCTCTCTCAGCCATCGCGAAACGGCTGTGCTTTGACGTTTGAGGTCAGCAAAACGCCACCGAGCGCGGTGCCGAGCCGTGCTGCTGCTGCCCGCTAGCAGACAGTGCATCAGCGGGGCTGTGGCCTCATTTTGCCAGATTTTAGCGATAGTGCTCGCATATAGTATATGCGAGCACCTATCTCGCTACCGTTGCGGATTGAGGTCCCGCGCACCTGTTTTTCGGAACCACCACAGCTAGCTGTGGTGGTGGGAGTGGTAGAGGATGTGATAGAGGATTAGAAGTGTGATGTTACAATGATTGACACATGAATATCAAACATACTAGCAAGCTAACAAGGAAGCTAGCGACTGTGATAAGCCGACTAAGCATATGATATTGAAAATCATTGCAATGAAACATGGTACATGCGATGCTTGATCTTCTTCTTTATACTTTCATTATTTTACTTTATGTGATAGAGGATTAGCAAGCTAACAAGGAAGCTAGCGACTGTGATAAGCCGACTAAGCATATGATATTGAAAATCATTGCAATGAAACATGGTACATGCGATGCTTGATCTTCTTCTTTATACTTTCATTCAATTTACTTTAGTTCAGGTTCTCTATTAGCGCGCCTACCGCCCTGGGTGGGTGGTGGGCAATTCAGGAAATGATGTCATGGGGGAGTGGCGGCACCTCACTCAGCTTTTGGTCGCCAGTTCGAATCTGCTCAGAGGAGTCGTCAGGAGAGGGTAGCAGAGAGGGTAGCAGAGAGGGTAGCAGAGAGGGTAGCAGAGAGGGTAGCAGAGAGGGTAGCAGAGAGGGTAGCAGAGAGGGTAGCAGAGAGGGTAGCAGAGAGGGTAGCAGAGAGGGTAGCAGAGAGGGTAGCAGAGAGGGTAGCAGAGAGGGTAGCAGAGAGGGTAGCAGAGAGGGTAGCAGAGAGGGTAGCAGAGAGGGTAGCAGAGAGGGTAGCAGAGAGGGTAGCAGAGAGGGTAGCAGAGAGGGTAGCAGAGAGGGTAGCAGAGAGGGTAGCAGAGAGGGTAGCAGAGA